GGGGTGCGGGTGAGGCCGTGGTGGGGGTGTCGCTGGCGTTTTTTGATGAGACGCGCGCGGGCGGGCGGACGTCGGAGACGATGGACGCGCGAAACGTCGCGCGCGTGGTGCAGATGTTGACCGTCTTGCACGTCGTGCACGCGCCGCACATGGCGGTGTTTGCGGTGTTGGGGACGGCGTACGCGTTGGGTCGATGGCGTACGCTCGCGGCGGTGGTCGCGTTGTACGCGTCGACGTACGTGACGAGACAGAAGTCGCTCGAGCGGGGACAGAGAAAGTGGGAGCAGTTCCAGACGTGGACGCTTCGGACGGTGGAGGGGGCGGCGAAATCGTGGTACGGGAGCGTGCGCGTGGTGCACGACGGGAAGGTTTCGGAAGCGGCGCATTCGTCGCCGCACGTCTTCGCGTACCACCCGCACTCGATGGTTCCCGCGGGCGCCGTGTGGTTTCACATGCTCCCGGATTTTAGCGCCCGTTTTCGCGGGATTCAACCCGTGACGCTCGCAGCCTCGGTTTTGTTTAAGGCACCGATCGTCCGGGAGCTTGCGGCGTGGCTTGGCGTTCGTGCGGTGAGCAGAGAGATTTTCCGTTCGACGCTACGAGAGCAAGGCGCGGTTGTCGTGTGCCCGGGAGGACAGCACGAGATGCAAGAGCACGGAGGTCCGATGGAGGAGACGATCGTTTTATGCACCAAACATAAAGGATTCATTCGAATAGCGATCGAGGAGCGCGCGCGCGTCGTCCCCGTGATTTGTTTCGGCGAGAGCAAGAGTTGGACCAACATCATGGCAAAGCCGGGCCGTTATCTCTACAGACGCTTTCGATTCGGTTTCACCCCGTTACTAGCCGTGGGCTACCTCGGAATTCTTCCGCTCCCGAGACGCGTACCCATCACGTTCGTCATCGGCGAGCCGATGGTACTTCCTGATCCGGATGCCTTGACGGGACTGGCGAAGGAATCGGATGTCGACGCGTTCCACGCGTCGTATTACAGTCAAGTGGAGAGACTGTTCGACGAGCACAAATCCAAAGCCGGGTTCCCTGAGCTTTGCCTCGTGATGAAAAACGATTAGCGTCGATGTATGACGTTTTGCTACCGTTACTTGTAATTTTAGTGGACTATCCCCGCGCACATCGCTAGACTATGTAGACTATGGACTATGTTGCGCTACGCCACCACAATCGACGTCTTGAACTCGCGTTCCTCTGGGAGCGACTCGAGAAACGCGACCAACTCTCTCGCGTGTTCTGGAACGTCTAGATCGGCGCTCCAAACTCTCGTGAATTCCTTTCCAGCGGCAAGCTGTAAGAGCTCGACAATCCCTCTGATTACTAATCGAAGTTCGTCGCATCTCTTGGCCGAGCGCCCATCCGCTTCCGCGTACGCGCGCTTCGCGTGCGGCCACATCGAAGCACAGTGCGCATGCATTCTCGGCCAGGAATTCTCAATCACGATCGCGATGAGCTTTGCGGCGTCAATCGCGATGTCGTCCTTCACTGCATGAAGGTAACTGCACAAGAGCGGAAGCAAACGGCTCAAGTGCGCGACGACGCGCACACCGGCGCTCCTCGTGAAATCTGGAAATATGTCAAGCAAAGGCCTAGCGTAGGCGACGTCTAATCCGCGCAAGCACGCCGTGTCCAAGGCTTTGTCGAACGTTTTACGGAAGTCCTCATCGTTTTCGACAATCGGGGTCAACGTACACGCCGTCTCCAGAGCGTGCGGCCACACGTCCTCGACGGCGCCGACGAGAAGACTTCGCGACGCGTCCAGGAGCACCTCAGCCGGAAAGCCTTCTTCTCCACGCCGTCGCGCGATCACCGACGCCGCGCGCGCCCCATTTGCGCGCACACCCGAGTGAGGATAATCCATAGCTCTCAAAACGCACGTGAGCGCGACGTCTAGAACGTCCGAAACGTCCATCGCTTGAGTCGAAGCGTCCACGCACCAGCGCATTTGCCTACTGGCGACGATGGCGCGCGCGTCAGCAACTTCCGCGTCCGCTCCGAATCCCCCTTCCGCACCCGGCGCTCGCAATGTATCCATGAATTCGCGCGTCGCCAGCTCACGAAACGCCATCGAGGCGTGCGCGGCGCCGACGCACGCCTCGAACGTCGCGTCCGCCGCGTCCGCGAGCGCTTCCGAGCTCCAGCCCGGGACATCTCGTGATGACGTTCTCCCGTGCGACGCGCACGCCGCGAGCGCCAGTGCGGTGGATGATAGCTCTAACACGCGCACGGGAGCGTCCTCGACCGGCTCCACGAGCGCGCGCGGTCGCGACGACGACGGATTGTTTGAAATCACCGACGGTGGCTCGAGCTCGAGACATCGCTCGCGAAGCGTCTGTAACGCCGTGAGGGCGGACTCGGTGAAGGTCGAGCGCGCGTCTGCGTCGACTTCATCTCGAACGAGCGCGCGGATGAGCTCGGGGGTCGGGACGGCGGCGCGCGCGACGTCAGCAAGGTCGACGTCGCCGCGCGTCATGCTGTGCGGCGTTGAGTGTGAGTGGTACATTTGCGTTTATTTCCATCTACTGTGTCGACCGCGGTGCGATAGCGTGATCGTAAAACTCGACAAGCTAATACTCATCTTCAAATCCCTCGGCGGCAGAGCTGGCGCCCACCTCTTCGTAGTCCTTCTCAAGCGCGGCCAAATCTTCACGCGCTTCACTGAATTCACCCTCCTCCATGCCTTCACCGACGTACCAGTGAACGAACGCTCTCTTGCCGTACATCAAATCGAATTTGTGGTCAAGTCTGGAGAAAACCTCGGCGATGGCGGTCGAGTTGGAAATCATGCACACAGCGCGCTGTACCTTGGCCAAATCACCACCAGGGACGACTGTCGGCGGTTGGTAGTTGATCCCGCACTTGAAACCGGTCGGCGACCAGTCAACAAACTGAATAGTTCGCTTGGTCTTGATGTTGGCCACCGCGGCGTTGACATCCTTCGGGACGACGTCGCCACGGTACATGAGGCAGCATGCCATGTACTTGCCGTGTCGCGGATCGCACTTGGCCATCATGGACGCTGGCTCGAACGCACTGGCGGTGACCTCAGCGACGGAGAGCTGCTCGTGGTACGCCTTCTCGGCGGAGATCACCGGAGCGTACGAGGACAACATGAAGTGGATTCTTGGGTACGGCACCAAGTTGGTTTGGAACTCGGTGACGTCGACGTTCAAGGCGCCGTCGAATCGCAGAGACGCGGTCAAGCTCGAGATCACTTGCGCGAGCAAGCGGTTGAGGTTGGTGTACGTCGGACGCTCGATATCGAGCGATCTGCGGCAGATGTCGTACACGGCTTCGTTATCCAACATCACCGCCACGTCGGTGTGCTCGAGTAACGCGTGCGTAGACAACACAGAGTTGTACGGCTCGACGACCGCAGTGGAAACCGCGGGCGACGGGTAGATTGTGAAACCCAACTTGGACTTCTTACCGTAATCCACGGACAAGCGCTCGAGCAAGAGGGAGCCCAAACCCGAACCGGTGCCACCACCGACGGCGTTGAACACCAAAAAGCCTTGCAAACCGGTGCAGTTATCTGCCAACTTACGAATACGATCGAGCGCCACGTCCACGATCTCCTTACCGATTGTGTAGTGCCCGCGAGCGAAGTTGTTCGCCGCGTCCTCCTTCCCGCTGATCAACTGCTCGGGGTGAAACAGTTGTCTGTACGCGCCCGTGCGCACCTCATCGATCACCGTCGGTTCGAGATCGAGGAAAACGCATCGCGGGACGTGTTTCCCGGCCCCGGTCTCGGAGAAAAACGTGTTGAACGAGTCATCCTCTTGTCCCGCCGAACCATCCATGGGCATTTGGCCACTGCGTTCGTCGCGACGTACACGTACAGTCAGTCCTCCGTCTCGTCAATCGATCACTCATACGCTCCGCGACCGTGTCTACATCACGTCAACGCGAACGTACTCGGGCTGGATCCCGTGTTCGAGGCAATAAAGCTCCCAGCACGAGTTCCCCGTCTGGATCCCGGCCTGGCCGATGTGAATCGAGATCACTTCGCGCATCTTTGTCGAATCAAAAAAGATTCAAACGTTGGTCGAGTTTCTTAAAGATACTCTTCGTGTACCGCACGCGAGCGTCTGCGGGACGGTTGGTAACCGTAAAAATACGAGAACAATTACTTCTCGAGAGATGCGTCGGCGAGCGAGTCGATGTCGCTGCGGCGTCGCGTCGAGGAGTACGGTTTCGTGGACGTTGCGACGATCACAACCGTTCCCCTTTTCTTCATTGAATTCATAGATGTATACGTTATTCAATACGGCTCGTTTGTCCGTTTGGTCGTTTTTTTCATCCATGCTGAACAGTTTGAAATCGTTCGACTCGATCGTGTGACATATAGATTTATGAATGTTACAATATGCGTCTATTGATTTTGCCAGCAACATCTCAGATCGACTTCGTCTCCACAGCTCGTCGCGCGCCGCGATGCGGTGGCCGTCGACGCGGAAGAGGGACGGGGCGGTGTCCACTAAATCGATCGCGAGCGTGGAGACGCGAACGGAGCGACGGACGGAGACGCAGAGGGAGATTTCGAGTGAAACCGTGCGAGACGCTCCGGAGTCGACGACGAGTGTAGCGACGAATATCGCGACGACGGGCGCTTTGACGACGGTCGTGGACGTTCGAGACACCTCAGGGGAACTCTCGCTGCGATTGGAGCGCGCGGAGGCGGAGTTACGGCGAGAGCGCCTGGCGCACGAGGCGGAGCGCGCGGCGACGCGGGACGAGCTCGAGGCCCAGGCGGAGGCGCTCGCGCGGTCGAGGAGTGAGTGCGAGCGCTTGGAGGCGGAGTGCGAGGCGTTAGCGTCGAGAACGGCGGATATTAAGGCGGAGGAGCGGGCGAGTTGTCGATCGACCGAGCGCACGCTGCAAGATGTTTGTCGAACAGTGACGCGGTTTGCCGTACGGTGCGCCGAGTATGGATTAATCGACGAGGATGTCGCGCGCGCGGTGGAGGATAATCCGCAGGTGTGGATTGAGCCGGATGGGAATCGAAGGGAGCGCGTTGGAGAGCTATTAAACGCCGTCTTGGATGCGCACGCGTCGGTGTGCGCGGAGTACGAGTCTAGAGTCGCGGTTGCCAAGGCGCAACCGCCGGACTCAGAGGACGTGGAGGAGTATGAGAGGCAGATTAAGTTGGAGGTCGAGCGCGTGCTCGGACACCTCGAGCTTGAATTCCACTCTTCGAAGAGAGCTGGCGGAATAGAAGCGAACGATTCTTCGCCGAACAGCGCGAGTAAGAGGCTGTATCGAACGCCGGATGTGAAGAGCTCGAGGAAGCAGTCGTCGTCCACTCGCGAGATCGAAGCCGAGCGTCGCGAGTTACAGGAGACCGTGAACGAGGTCCAAAGACAGATGCATCAGCTCGCTGAGAGTAGCAAGGCGATTGAGTCGGAACTCCGGGATCAGTTGGTGACGTCTCGAAGCGAGTCGGAGAAACTGCGCGTCGAGCTCGAGAGCGTCTTGGAGGAGCGCAACATAATTGTCAACAAGCTGGAGATTGAGCTCCAAAAGCTTGAGCACGCGCAGTCAACGAACGATGAGAAGACTAAAGATGCGATGAGACGAGCGAGGGAGGTTTTGGAGCAGGAACAGCGTCGATTGAGTCTGGTCACAAGGGAGAAAGATGCGGAAATCTCGGCGCTCAAAGAGCGCGTGGCGCACCTGGACGCCCAGGTCGATGATCTCACCTCGGAGGGTAAGCGCCTGAGCGAGACGCTGACAAAACAGCGCCAGATCAAGGATAAGCTCGAGGAACAGGTCGCTGGGAGCGAGGCGCGAATCGAGGGCTTGCTCCAAGAGATTGACGCCATGGATGCAGCCTCTGCGCAGGCATCAATGCACGTGAGCAACGCCATGGCAAGCGCATCCGAGGCGCACCAGCGAAGCTTACAGGAGATGCGGGCCAAGCAATCGGAGGCAGAGGCGTACATAGAGTCCCTCGACGCGCGCATGGGGGCGCTGGAAGAGGAGAGAGGCATGCTCAGACGCGAATTAGAGCGCGCGTACTCGAGGGAGAAGGAGATTCGAGTTCGTATGCAAGAGAGCGAACGACGATCGAACGAGCTCACGGCCGAGATTAACGCTCTGCTCGAGCAAGAGGCTCGACGCAACAATTTGCGTGAAACTGGCGACGGCGGTTTCCTTTCTATTTCTACCGCAAACACGCCGTCGAGATCCGCTCGAATGGTTCGCGTGCACTCGAATGGAGTCGCGTCAACCTCAAAAAAGCTCGACGTCCGCGAGTTCTCCGATGACGACTCCGAGGGTGAATTTGTGGTCGTGCGCAGACGTGCTACGACGGCGCCAAGCAGCCCATTCATGGTGGGTAACTCTCCTCGCGAGACGACGGCGCAACAGTTTAATGGACTGAACAGCGTGAGCTCCGCGCTCGCTCGAGCTCGCGCTGAGTTCATCGAGGTTCGCGCAAAGCGCGATACCTTCCAGTAGACTAAAGACTAGCTAACTACAAGTACGCTATAGTCGTGCTACGCTGTTGTACATTTGATTAGTAGTACGAAATCGCAAAGTTCGAAACCCAACGCTGTCCTGGAATGCTCAACCATTCCTCACCGTCACCGGCGATTGCTGCCAAATTTTCTTCATGTTCAACCGCGAAATCCCTGATCTCATCCAATCGCATCTGTCCCCCGTATCCTAACAACAATCCCGGCTCGCACTCGACCAAAAATTCCGCCACGTTCCGCCACTTTACTCGCAATTCAATCGCCTCGAGCGCGTCGCGCGCTCGGTACTCCAAGTCCTCGTCCGTAATCTTCCGACTCACCAGCGCCGGTTCGCACGCGATCATGCGCTCGACGTCCCCTCGTCGTATGAGAGATCGGAGTAGTAACATTCTCTTCACTAGCGGACGCGCGTCCAGGACTTCGTCGCCGAGCGCGGCGAGCGTTTGGTCGTCCAGGTTGGTGAGCTTTGCGAGTCGGGACGCATCGTTGGAGGATGACGACGACGACGACGACGACGCGCGGGAGCGGATGCGCGAACGAGACGCTCGAGCGCACGTAAACGCGCACGCGCGGTGAGGCGCGAGCGCGAATCGCATCGCGGGGCGCGTCGAGATGTGAGGTTTGACTCGTGGTAGTTATATTACGTTCTCACTGAGACTTCTCCCGGGCGATGGCGCGCCAGCCGATGTCCTTGCGGTTGAAACCGCCGGGCCAGACGATGGTTTTAACGCCATCATAGGCGCGAGCGGCGGCCTCGGTGATGGAGGCGCCGTAGGCGGTGACACCGAGGACGCGGCCTCCAGCGGATAGGACGTCGCCGGATTCGCTCGCGATCGTCCCGGCGTGGAGCACCTTGACGCCCTCGATCTCATCCGCGGCGTCCAGGTTGGAGATCTTCTCTCCCTTGGCGTATGAGCCTGGGTAGCCGTTGGCGGCCATGACGACGACAACGGCGGATTCGTCCGACCACGTTGGTTTCGGCGCCGAATCGAGCTCACCCTTGGCGGCGGCGAGAAGGAGTGCCGTGAGGTCGCTTGTCATGCGGGCCATCAAAACTTGGCACTCCGGATCACCGAAGCGAATGTTATGCTCCAGGAGCTTAACCTTGCCGTCCTTGCTGATCATAAGACCCGCGAAGATGACACCCGTGAACGGGCAACCCTCCGCCGCCATGCCGTCCACAGTGGGTTGAATGATGTCGCGCATGACGACGTCCTCGATCTCTCGCGTCACCACGGCGGCGGGAGAGTACGCTCCCATACCCCCGGTGTTCAGACCGACGTCTCCGTCGCCCACGCGCTTGTGATCCTGAGCGCTCGCAAGAGGAACCGCCTTGCCACCGCCAACGACGGCGAAGAACGAAGCCTCCTCGCCGTCCAAAAACTCTTCGACCACGATCTCGTTCCCGGCGCTACCAAACACGGCGTTCGTGAGCATATCATCCACGGCGTTGAGCGCGTCGTCCATGTTCATCGCCACGATCACGCCCTTACCCGCGGCCAAGCCGTCCGTCTTGACGACTATAGGCGTCCCCTTGGACTTGATGTACTCCTTCGCCTCGACCGGATCCGTAAACTTCGCGTACTCCGCGGTCGGAATGTTATACTTGGCGCACAAATCCTTCATGAACGCCTTCGAGCCCTCCAATCGCGCCGCGCTCTTGCTCGGCCCGAACACCGGAACCCCATTCGCCGTCAACGTGTCCGCCAAGCCGTCCACGAGCGGCGCCTCCGGTCCGACCACCACCAACCCCACGTCCCGCTCCGCGCAAAACCGCGCCACCGCGGCGTGATCGCGTTCATCCACCTCCACCACCTCCACCCCGCGCTCGCGCGCGATCCCGGCGTTTCCGGGCGCGCAGAACACCGCCCCCCCCGACGCGCTCTGCGCCAACCTCCAGCACAACGCGTGCTCGCGCCCCCCCCCCCCGACGACGAGCACGTTCGTCGCCATCGCCGTCACGCATCGCCGCGCCCGCCGCGTCGCGGTCGTCGTCCGCCCCTCCGTCCGTGTCCGCGTCCGTCGCGCGTGAACGCGCGT